AAGGTCTCTTAATTTGAGTATTTTTGAGCAAAAATTCCTCTTGGGGGTTGAAAGGGCTATGTGATCGGTGAGTGAGGGAGTTATGCATGTGCACGTGTCGCACCAATCACAGTGAGGGTTTTATCAAAGAACAAATCAAAGGAAAAATATAAGATGGTATCTACATTAATCTGGAGATGTGTCAGATTACTGTAGTTTGTTCAGTCAAACATCTTATGATTTACTATTTAGCTATCTTACCATTACCGATGTAACATCGTATGTACATCATAAATTCCCAGTTTCTTTCTTGCTGTACACCACAACCAAAATAACTTGTCGAATTCACCAAATCATTACTGTAAACAGCTCCATGAATACTCCTATCTCCGAGACTTCACACACACACACACAAAAAAAGACTCTTGCACGCCTTGCGTGCCTATGTTTAAACATGCTGTTGTGATTTTAAATGTACACACAAACGATTTACTGAAATATCTAGCTTTTAATGGCCGTACACGGGCAAGCAGCGTCGAGGGTCCGTGCACGGTTCGGCCAATTCAATTTCTCAATTCTCTTACAAAATGAAATAAGCAATTATTACTCAACTAAACTGTTTGTTTTTACTTTCAGCTGACCAAGAAAAATGTTAAATTAGAAAAGTGTCTGTGAAAACGCATCATTTTTCCATTTTTCTAATTTTAAGACAAATCTAAAACTTAGAAAAATCTTGTTTATGGCCAAAAACGATATTTTTGTCCATTTTCCATTTTTCCGTTTTCCTAACCTATCGAAAAAACGCAAAAATGGAATATACTTGTGTGCATTTTTTGTTTTTCTATGTTTTCGTTTTCAATCAAAAACGAAAAAAAACAAAAAATTGAAATCTATTCCATTCAATTTTCTATTTTTTCATTTTTAGATCAAAACCTTAAAATTGGAAAATTGAAATTTGTTTCACTAGAATTCCTATTTTTCAATTTCTTCACAAAAATGGTAAAAGTTTAAAAAAATCCTGTGATTCTCGATGGTTTTGAATTTTAGTTCTTGTAACAATATCGATTTTGTTGAAAAACTGTTACTGATGTGTCGTCTCAAAATGCAATAGTAGAATGACACGTGACCTAAGGTTTTTCCCGCCAAGTTGAGATCCCGGTGAGTTATTAAAGTGCACGAGGAGGAGATCAGCTATGGATGTTCCCGTTCCCCGTGTGAGTTGTTGTTGTTGTTGTTATTTTTTCCTAAGTTGTGGATTGATTTTTTTCCTGGAAATTGCATTATACCTATCAATATTGTTACCACAGATTAGCCTAATTACCTGCTTTGATAAGAAATAACACGCAAACTGCGGTGATAAACATGACAATAAAACGCATGTTAAAAAACAAAGTTCATTTTGCTTTGACTGTGTCTGTATATCTGGCTTTCTGCTTGTGTTATTTCGCATGCTCTTCATGTGACCCTGAACTGCCAATACCATGTAAAACTCTCTGCCATGGTCGACTCGGACTAAGCAGACTCGGTCAAACATACCATGTCATAAAAGCGTTTCCCTGGTGACAGCAAAAAAGAAAGTGAGCCTAAAAAGCTTCTGTTTGCTTTAAAACAACTTAGTATAATTTTATATACCTTTTTTCTAAAATGGGAGCTAATTATATCGGGATGAAGATGATGAGATTATTTTTTCAAAGCCATAACCGATTTGCCAGTTATAAACGAACTATAGCCATCCACGGCTATGACCTCGGTGACGCCATAACGTACAAGCTTCTCGTTATGGTCAAGATGAAGTTTGTGTCCAAAGTATTCAGCGAAATATGGCACAGGATTGAGGTGACGAGTAATCGATGTCTGCCGTTCACGGTGTTGTTGGGGATTGACCCGTTTGAGTGCTCGTCCTACGCTGTTTTCTCCAAGGCGCGGGCCTGTTGCATGTGTGATATAGCCAGTCACTATTTTTCTTCCGTACGTTGTACCAACCTTTTGTATTTTGAAAAAAAGAACAATGGGTCTGACAAATGGACAGAAGATAGGGAATAGACACAGAGTGGGAGTGGGTTATCGAAATGGGTACCGTTGGGTAGCAGTGACGTTACAAAGGGAAGTAATTATTTTAAAAATATAGCGCAAGACAAAATAGAAAGAAGGTAAGTTACGGTTGTTCATCCAAAGACTGGACAAGCCCATGGACACCTCTCCCAAGTTCCAGGTAGAACCAAGCTTTATGAGAGTTAAACTGCATAATTTAATAGCGTAACGTCCAGAAACATAGTTCTCGTTAGTCTCACTGAAGTCGTCACGCAACGCTCCTCTCCCGATCAGTGTTGCGTGACGACTCAAATAAGACTTAGTTCTCGTCAACAAACAAACAAGTCGTTTTTGGTGGCAGTATTAGCTTGATTTCTCCCAAAGTATCACTTAAGCAGATTCCCGATTATTTCTATAATATTTCGAAAGGAGACATTAAATACATGCTCTCACCTTCGCAATTCCAGAAGCTACCACGTTGTCGAGATCTACAGATGTCAAACCCGAATTCTGATGCTGTATGTTATTCATAATACAGTATCACCGAACGCTTCTCTCGGATAGCCCTTCAACCCCTGGATATCCTTGCCTTAAACTTCTTTGTGTGTTTTCGCTTGCTTTTCGACAAGCTCCTCTATGTAATTAGCAGTCACTATGTTACGAAAAATTGTCTAAGTCTAGTCAGAACATTCTAATCCTTATGTCATTACTCAGATTAGAAACTGTGTCAAACTACTTAATTTAGCTCCTAATAGAAGTTTCTAGAACTTTAAGCCTCATGTATATTAGAGCGAGCGGTTCTGCTGTAAAAGAGATTGAGACATGTATTCAAATTTGAAGAAGCTTAGTGCTGTAAATTCGCGAAGTTACCTTACGGAAATAAATTAGTTTGTTGCTGTTACCAGCGATCCTGAGTGCTGTCTGGAAACAACCCTGCTCTTCAACGATACTCGTAACATTGGGGGCCTGCCCGGGGGAGCAGAAATTTGTTTGCTGGACTACCGTAACCAGGAAAGGTACAGGACAAGCGTGGGGGAGTGGATTTGGTGTTCTGTGTGAACCGATTTCGTGTAAAAGAAGGTTTCGCTGTTATCCTTTGTGGACATTTCTAGACTGTATGTCGTACGCTGTTATCCTGTGTGGACATTTCTAGACTGTGTGTCATATGATATGGAGAAGTTTATTGAGTTAGGCAAAACGTTTGGACTGGAAGGAGCTGAGTGGCTTGCATTTGTGGAGAAGCGTAGAGAGGAAGAACGAGAGGAGAAGCTTAGAGAGGAGGAACGAGAGGAGAAGCTTAGAGAGGAGGAACGAGAGGAGAAACGCAGGAGAGCAGAAGAAGAGAAAGAAGAGAGATTCAGAATAGCAGAAGAGGAGAAAGTGGAGAGAAGTGGAAGGCAAGATGAGGAGAGGGAAGCGCGACGACAACAGCGAGAAATAAGAAAACATCAAAATGAGGCTGAGCTTCAGAGACAGAAAGTGGAAATCGAAGAAGCCCAGAGAAGACACGAGTTAGAAATGAAACGTTTCGAGTTGGAACAGACCCATCAGGGGCCTGGTGCTCAAGCACCTAATAAAGAGGACAGAGCTCTTTCGTAGATGGAAAAGATGACTTGGATGCTTACCTTCAGCGATTTGAGCGATTTGCAACTACCGCAAAATGGGATAAAGCTGGATAGGCTACCAAGCTGAGTGCTTTACTCTCGGGCCGAGCACTAGATGTTTATTCCCGCCTTTCAGAAGAAGCAGCCTTAGATTATGACAAGATGAAGATAGCTCTTATGAAAAGGTAT